TAGGATGAGGAATGGATTGATGGGTACATCCTTAGATATGAGTTTCCAAGAATTTATGCCTTGGTGGTGAAAAAGGATAGGAGAGTTGAAGATTGTGGCATGTGGGATAGGGATGAATGGATTTGGAATGTTGAACTTAGGAGAAATATCTTCAGTTGGGAGAATGAACAATGGAGTGCTTTTCTCAATCTTATTGAGAACCAACCACTCAATAAACATTTCCAAGACAAGTTAAAATGGAAAGGTAGCACCAGTGGGGATTACTCGGCTAAATCTTTTTGCAGTCAAGTTATGCATGCCAATATAATCTATGTCACCCATTTGAAACTCATATGGTCTGGTCTTGTCCCATTTGAAATCGAGATCTTCTGTTGGTAGCTAGTGCGAGATAGATTAGCTATCAAGGCAGCTTTGGTGAGTAAAGGAATCATCAGTGAGCAAGCAACCAATTGCTTGCTTTATAGTAAGAAAATTGAAACTGTTAGCCATCTTTTCTTCTTGTGTGATTGCACTCAGATTCTTTGGTAGCAATGGAGAGCAATGTGGAATGTGAGTTGGGTTTCCCACTGTGAGCCTTTAGTCTGTTTCCTTCATGGTTTGATTTCACTAAGTCTTTGAAAATGACTTAATTTGGAAAATGGTGTGGTATGCCAACATTTGGACAATTTGGATTACTAGAAATGATATTCTCTTTGAGAGTAAACAATGGGATGGCTACCAAGTCTTGGAGCTTACGAAAGTTAAAGTTGCTTGGTGGATGAATGCCAAGTGGCCTGGTTTTAACCTATTTATAAGTGACTTGGCAAGACAGCCAAATGAAGGTAGTAATCCAAGGCATTTTCCAAAGGTTAAGATAGAGGTGTTGTGGGAGAAACCTAAAGCTGGGGTGCATAAATTCAACAAGGATGGTGTTTCAAGAGGTAATCTGAGTGATTCTGGAAGTGGTAGCATTCTTCGGGATGATCAAGGGGAAACTTTTGCCTATTTTTTGAAATCTATTGGACATCGGACTCCAATTTGGTAGAGCATTTAGCACTAAAGGAGATAATCTTAATTTATGCTACTACTAACTGGTGACTATCTCACCCTTTTTTTCTTGAATGCGATTCTTACAATGTGACAAAATGGATTTCTAATCTTGCAGATGTGCCTTGGCGAATGAGGCCTCTTGTTATTATGATATTAAATTTACTCATAAAGATTCGACAATGGAGTATTAGACACATTCCCAAGTCATCCATTGAGGAAAATGACGCGCTTGCTAAATAAGGGATTCAAAGGACTAGCAACTTGCTGTGAATCACACCAAATGTAACCACAGTTAACCCCAAGCATGACTGATGTGGAGCATGATTGATGAGTTCATTGTGATTATTGTGAGTTTGAATACATTATAGACTTGCGTGACAATAATGGTTGTTGTTTGCTACTTGCTTGCATGTTTTCCTTGTGCGAATGGTGGAATTGTGATTGATGAGTCATTTATGGTAAATGTTGATGTTGAATGATCTGAAAATTATCTTTGTTAAAATGATATTCAACTATTTTTCTTTTTTTTTTGAGAATTTTTGTTTATGGGTAGCATGTGTCCTTCCATTGTTTGTTCAAACAACCTTTTTTGGATTAGTGGTAAGCTTTCTAGTAAAACTATTAATTGGCATAGGTTTAATTATTCTAGAGTTCAAATTCTCGAAGTTTTTCCTTTTTTTTTTGTAGGCTTGACTTTTTTCTTTTTAGGCATAATATTTAAAAAAGTCCCTAAATTATTCAAGAAAATTCAACAAAACCTCTATACTTTTATTGCATTCAATTAAGCTCTTGTACTTTATTTTGAGCTAAATGAACCCTTATATTTTTTATTTTGAGTCAAACAAGCTCTTATAATTAATGATTGTCTTAATCAAAATATCGTTTGTCATTTTATACCATATGATGTTAACGTAGCATGTTAATATATTATAATTAATAATGATGTGGCATATTAGCATATCTTAATTTATGATGACGTGGGATGTTTATGTGACATGATAATATGATTTTATAATATTTTTCATTCTTCATGTTAATGTCATATTAGTGTTATGTAGATATTAAATAACAAGTGACATTTTGACCAATGATAATTACTCAACTATTAATCATAAAGGTTTATTTGATCTAAAATAAAAATACATGGGCTTAAACAAACATAATAGTTTCAAGAATAAAGATTATCATTCATCAAATTGGAAATACCTTTTTTCTCATTCTCTTTTTTTGTGTGAACCAATCAAATAATTATCATTTAGTAAATTAGAAAAACTCTTTCTCTTTTTTTTTGAATCAATCAAATAATTATCATTCATCAAATTAGAAAAACTCTTCTTCTATATTCTTTTTTTCCGTGAATCAATCAAATAATTTTTTTTCTCTAGAAAAAATAACTATTAATTTATATTTGAGGATATGACCCTTTCTCTTATTCCTTTTTTTGTGAATCATCAAACAATTATTGTTCATCAAATTAAAATGCCCTTTGTCTTATTCTCTTTTTTGTGAATCAATCAATTAATTTTTTTTTCATTTTTTTTCTCTCCAAACCAAATTTTGAGGGGACCTTAGCATATTGAGGTAGGGTAATGTTTTGTGTACATATTATATATTAGTCTAAAAAATATTATATTATATTTTAGCTAAATAATGATTACTAATTTGAAAATTTTAAAACAACAATTTTTAGTTTTTTTTTATTAAAAATAAACTTGTTTGGTACTCATGCATGTCAAGTGACTGTAAAATAAGTCAAATGATAGAATTTGTACAAAGTTTTAATATAATTATTAATTTTCTTTAAATAAAATATACTTTTAATAAAAGTGTATGATTAAATTTATTTAGAATTGAGGTAGAGATTAGAGAACTAAAATTGTAAATAAAAGGTTAAGTTATTCTTACCTATCTAAGTTTTGACCATAATAAAGCTTGGGTCCATTACTATTTAAAAAGGAGAATCCACCCCAAAATTTCATACGACATCAACACATTTTATAAATTGATTAAAATACCCATCAAATAAATAGCATCTAAAATACGCATTCACCAAAAAAAATATTTCTCTTCTTTTTTCTCTCTTCCTTCTCTTCTTCAACTGCTTTAGCCTTTTGATTTCCCTTTTTAATTCCTTCCCATGGTTGGTATATTTTTCCTTATTGGGATTTGTTTTTTTAAAAAGGAAAGAATGGATCTTTAACCATTTCAAGCTTTCAACCCATTAAGCCTTTTTAGTCTTTTTCAAAAGTGTCTTTACCATTAATTTATTGACCATTAGGTTTTAAGATTCAACTTTTTTGAATCTAATTTTTGTTGACTTCAATCAGATTGGGTTGTTGGGAAGATTCTTGCTTCCATTTTGTTCATGAGTATGAATCTAGCCCAAAATTTTTTCAAGCTCACTCACATGATTGAGATGTTTCATGTAAGGGAGAGAAAGGGAAGAGTGATAATGGGAGGGAAAAGGCCATTCTTATTGTGCTCTTGCTAATAGGCGTGTTACAGGGAAGGTCCACCTAGAGGCAAAATGGAAGGGGGCTTGTAGAGGCCCTAGCCCCTTCCACCCCCACCCTCTCCCAAAGTTTAAAATTTTTATAACAATCTTTATTTTTTTGGAATAACTTTGCCCCTAAAATAATTCTATAACACACTCTTATTTTTTTAGAATTTTAAAATTTTGCTCTTAAAATAATTTTATAATTTTACTCCTTATTTCATCATTTTTATAATTTATCAATATGTCATTTGAATTTGTGTTTATCTTGTATCTTATGAGGGAGTTGTCGGAGATAACAAACGACCTTTTAAAAGCTTTATAACTTGACTACTCTTAAGACATGCTAAATGCAATTCATTTAGTATTGCTTTTTGTCTTCGGCAATTGAGAGAAAATAAATGAAAACCTTTGCTCGTGTCAATAAAGAAGTTTTGTGAGAAATATGAAATTAAAATTCTGGACATGAGGGCTAAATATAAATTAGGTAAAGGTCGTATTCAAAAGCATCATGCCATAATTGAGAACCATTATCGAGTTGATTTATTTTTGATTGCTATTATCTTACTCTTACAAGAATTGGATTTCAGATTTAATGAGAATGTAGTGGAGTTACTTACTGTTGTCACATCTTTCGATCCTCAGAATGATTTCGAATTGTTTGATGTTAAAAGTATTTGTAACCTTGTTATCTTAATGACTTTACTGAGTATGATAAAATACATCTAAGTTATCAATTAGATCTATTCAAATATGACATTCTTCATAATCAAACTTTAAAAAATATATCTATATTTTTAGAATTATGTTAAGTATTGAAAAAGACGGGAATATCAAAAGTTTACTTCTTTGTTGATAAATGATCTAGCTTGTCTTGACTCTTTTAGTTTCCATTATAACATCAGAGTTTGCATTTTTTGTTATTAAACTCGTTCAGAACAAGATTTGTAATAGAATATCAGATGATTTTTTTTAAAAAATTTATTGATCATTCTCATTGAAAAGAAAATCATTCAAAGTTTTGATATTGATTGAATAACAGATGCCCTCCAACTTTATAAAAAACCATCAAGCTCAGTTAAAAATGCCTAATCTTAACATGCAATACTTGTTAAAAATGTATTTAATACATTGTTAGATTTACTTGTATAATTTTCATATGAATTTTTTTATCTAAATTAATTTATTATTTTGTCAAACATTAAACTTCTAATATAACTATTTTATAAATATTGTCTTCATCTCCAAACATGGACTATTTTAGGTTCTAATTTGCTACTATGAATAAAAACAATGCTTTGCATGTTTGTTGAATAAAAAAAAATTATCCAGAGCTCTTCTAGATTTTTATATTTTCTGTGTTATCTAATAGTGGGTTAGTGACTCAATAGTATGAAGGGTAACATTGTTTAAAAATTGATATTATGTCATCAAATTAACAAGAACACGACTATAGCAGCATTTATGTCAAAACTGAATTAAGATCAAAATTTGAGGGGCTAGAGTAGCAATTTACCCTAAATAAAATAATAGATTCGAAACCAACAAACCCTTGAAATGGCGCCATCAAATAGAAACAACTAAAAGAATCCGGGAACAAGGAAGCTTTCGTCTTCAAAAAATGTTACTGGGGAAAACCATCAAGCACCTTCCCTCCATTCCCATTAACAAATCTTTCCCTCGCTTTTCTTCCTCCCTTTCCGTTCTCTCAGCTCACGACCCGACATCCGACTCGGATCCATATGCTCTTTTAAAGCAGGACCCAATTGACATCTGCCTTTCAATATGGGTTAAATCCTTCTCTTCACACTCACCCACCGCCACTTTCCCAAACCTCACCGGCTTCCTCTCAAAATTTGATCTCTGGGTGTTAGCCTACCAACGCTCCTGCGCTCACGTGACCGGCACCTTCCCTCCCCGCAACGCCATCCACTCCCAGACCCTCCATTCCCTTCTCTCCCTCCAAAGCGCAGTCGTTCACGGCCGCCTTTCAAGTGGAACAACAAGACCCATCAGCTTATTCGTAGCCCAAACGACAAGCCGTCGACGAGTTTAATCTCAAAGAGAAAACTTCAAGCTATGCTTCAATCGCCTGACCCCTGTTTTCAGGACCGCGTTGTTCAAGAGGTTCTTTTGATGGTCCTGGAACCTATTTTTGAACCCCGGTTTTCAAGTAATATCTCATGCCTTTAGGCCTGGAAGGAGTGCCCATAGCGTTATCCGCACAATTCGGAGTAACTTTGCTGGGTATCTTTGGTTTTTAAGAGGTGATTTGAGTGAGTTATTTGATAATGTGGGTGTAAATGTAATCATGGGTTGTCTCGAAAAGGTTGTAAAAGATAAGAAAGTTTTGAATTTGATTAAATCTGGGCTCAACCAGCCTGTTAAGAAGAGATTGAAGAGCGATGACGATGGTGGTGGTGGCGGTGGCGGTGGAGATTTGAAGAGCAAAAGGATGAAAAAAAGAAAGGCTACTAAGAAGAAGATTTTGAATGAGAATGAGCCTAAACCGGACCCTATTGGTTGAGGACTTTCTTTGATTTTGCTCCTGAGGAAGCTGCTAAGGTACCTTCTTATGGTTGTTGTGGAATTTTGAGTCCTTTACTTTCTAATGTCTGTCTTAATGAATTGGATCAAGTGATGGAAGAGAAGATAGTTAAGTTTTTTAGGCCGTCTAAGCATGATTCGATATGGAAAGATACAATTAATGATGGATGTCATAACCCTTCTTGGCCTGAGTTTGTTCCGTCTAGTGGCAGAGAGAAAACTAGGAAAATGGATTACATAAGACATGGAAGTCATTTCTTGATTGGCATTCGAGGACCCAGAGAGGATGCAGTGCAAATTAGAAAGGAAATAATAGAGTTCTGTGAGAGCGAATTTGGGATAAGGTTGGATAACTCAAAAGTGGAGATAGAACACATAAGTAGAGGAATTCAATTCTTGGACCATATAATTTGTAGGAGAGTGATACACCCTACCCTTCGTTACACAGCTAGTGGAGGGAATATTGTGAGTCAAAAGGGCATAGGGACTTTGCTTTCGGTTACAGCTAGTTTACAGCAATGTATTCGTCAGTTCAGGCGGCTTCACTTTGTCAAGGGTGATAAGGATCCTGAGCCTCTGCCTTGTACCCCAATGCTCTACTCGAGTCAAGCTCATACAAATTCACAGATGAATAAGTTTCTTGAGACCATGGCTGATTGGTACAGATATGCTGATAATCGAAAGAAAGTTGTTGGCTTTTGTGCTTATGTGATTCGTAGCTCTTTAGCTAAACTGTATGCTGCAAGGTATAGGCTAAAATCTCGTGCCAAGGTGTATAGGATAGCTTCACGTGATCTTAGTCGTCCATTGAGGGAGAGTAGCAACAATTCAGCACCGGAATACTCTGACCTTTTAAGGATGGGACTTGTTGACGCAATTGAAGGTGTTCAGTTCTCACATATGTCTTTGATTCCGTCTTGTGATTACACTCCATTTCCAAGGAATTGGGTACCAGACCATGAGCAGCTTTTGCATGAGTATATTAGACTACAAGACCCAAAATTCTTCTGCCACTTGCATAGATCGATAAAACGTGAAGGCCTAAGTTTACCTCAAGATGAGATATCGGGGATTGTGTGGGATTATAAGACTCTGGGAATTTGGAGATATCGGTCTAATACTGGCAAAGAAACAAAAGAGGGTTCGGAATAAAAGGTAGGGGAAACTTGTATATTGTTTCACAGTATTAGAAAATAGTTTGTGCTTGGTTTTCCTTCTTCAGGGAACAGTTGTTATCCATAAGCTAATGAAATACTATCAAAGTGGGCAGGCTTGGTTCATTTGCCTCTTGGGGAAGTTCATTTGAAGATCTGTCTTTTCTCCTAACAAATAAAAAAATCGATTCATTTTATGGGCATCATTGGGAAAATAGATGTTGAAGGATCTTATGAATAACTGCTAAAGTTTCACATAGACTATAAAAGGGACTCATGTTCAGTCCTGCCTTCATCAGAGATTGAGGTTTGGGGAATTGTGGCAGGCTAGCACCGGCCGCATATTCCAATTACAGAAACAAAATGAGATTCTTCTAACATAGGAAAAATAGGTCCATTTGATGAGCATGGTATTTAATGTTTGCAGTATTGCTCATTTGTTCAATACACAAATTCTTTTAATTGTAATTATTGATCTTTGCTTGATTTACCAACTTGACTCTTTCAATATTTAACATTTTTCTTCTCTGATTCTTTTCATTTGTGCTTCTTACATTCTTGATCTCATTACCCTTATTTTTTTCATTGAGAAATCTCTGTTCTGATTCAACTGTCCTCCCACCACTGTACATACTTCTGTCACCATTGATGAAAGCCTTTACCACTAAAAGATTTGCAAAAAAGAACTAAGAGCTATGCCTTCATTTTTTGTTGATTTCAAGGGTAAGCTTTTTTGATGTGTGCAATTATGTGATTCTGCGGGTACAATGCCCAAATAAGCCCTCAAACTTACCTAAAAGTGGAAATAACCTTCGCATCATTTATTTTGTGTAATTATGGTTATAAATTCCTATTTCCTTGTTATTATAACCACGAAAAATTTGAAAATGAGTATATAAAGTCCTATAGAGAAAATGGAGGACTAATCTCTGTAATCTTCTGCTGTGAATCTCAAATATTGCTTCCAACTCAGGTTTTCTTCTTTCCTTTCTTTTTCCTATCTACAAGAATTTTGAAACTAAAAAACTTTCTTTCTTTCTACTCTGCTTTATGCTTTCCAATTTTCCTTCTTTGAATACAAAATCTTAACCTGCCTTATTTTTTTCTTTTTGATCGAAGCTATCCCCCTTTCTCTTCCTTTGATCTCCTTCTTCTATTTATTTTTTCATACCATTATTTCCTTTTTATAGCTTATAGCCATCCAAGAAGGTTTAAACAGATAATGGAATATTCTGTAACATCAGGGTTCTAATTATAACAAAATAAAAGTTTATAACCTTGGTTTCATGTAATAACAGATGGATGGCTTATTTCCATTTTTCGAGTGAAGTTGGAGGACTTATTTGGGTTTTATGCCAATTAAGAGGTATGCCTTCAATATTTAGTTTTCATGATTTTCTCATAAATGGGTATTTGCTCTTTCTGTTATTGATGTCAGAAATTTATTTTTGCTTGTAAATGGGTTTGTTCATTGAGGAATCTTACATTTGTTAATTTTATTTGTCCTTTTTCATTGAATTTTTTTTATTAATATCCAACACTGACATCAGTTTTTGTTTATTTTTTGTTTTCATAATATATATCTCAAAAATCTAATTTATTTTTACAGTGAATGGAAAAAAAATCTTGATTTTAATCATGGAAGAAATATCTGTTGTCATTGCCACCATAAGAAGTGGCAATTATTGCAGCAACATCATAGTTAAAGACTAAAGAGGGAAAAAAATGTGATTTTAGTTTGCTGAATGCTGGTGGATATATACTGCTGAGGGTGGACTTTCTAGAAATTTGTCTGGTTTTGATTTCTGTGTTTTTTAGTGAAAAAGGCATCGGGATCTTTTGAGGAAACACTCTAGGTGCAATCTTTGTTTCCTTTTATTTATTGTGATTATTTTACCTTGCAAGTCTTCAACAGTGTATATCATATAATTTTTATTCAGGAAAAATCAACAGATACAAAGTGCAGTTGTCTTTTTATGAGCCTTAGTGGCTCCAGAAGACTTTCCATCACATTCAACCATAAAACAAATTAATTGCTCTCAAAACCTAAGCTGCATAATATTGTCTTCTGCCACATTTTATAAGGTCCTTTTTCTTTTTGATACTTTTCCCTCAGTTCAACCACTACTGATCTATTCAGATAGTTATATAAAGCTCTATAACCTTTCATAGAATGAAGAAGCTTATGCTTTGCATCAATGTTTCATTTCCTGTTTTTTTACAGTATAGGCTCTAGGTCTCATCAAATTCATTCCTTTCTTTAGTTATAAAACACAATTCCACACATATATCAGAATAGGTTAAATCATGTTTTGTTCTGTAGCCTCAAGATAGAAATTCTAGCTATGTTATCGGTTGAGATTTTGGGAGTTTTGAGTGATCTACCGGACACATGAGGAGTATTGTGATTTCTGTAAGATAGGTTGTTATGATAAAGGAAGAATGAACCTCATAGGATGAGATTGTGAGAGCAAAAGATCTGAAATTAGGAATCAAACGGAAAAAAGTTATGATTTAAGATAATCATTTTGAGAATATGCTACAAACAGAATCAAATATAGTTGCAACATACGGTAATAATAAAGATGATGATGGCAGTGATAAGGATATTGCCAAGTTATTGAAACAAGTCATAATCAAAGATAATCAAGACTGCAGTCTAGATTAACTGCTAACATATTGTCTCATATGACAAAGGACTTTCATGCAAACAAAGGCTGAATATAGAGCTAGAAAAAAAAAATTAGAGAAAGAAAGAAAAGGCGGCAGATATAGGTAATGCATTGTATGATTTTTAGCATCCAAATCCTTGGTTCAGCTATCAGGAATTGACAATATCTAGATCAAACGGAAGGTCTCCAGAGGTTACACTTTGAAATATAGCCCTGCTTGTTGAATGAAACCATCAACTAATTCTTCAACCACATGGCCCATGAGACTGTTGCCTGCCTTTGCTGTGTTAGGACGCTGACCATGCTGAGGAACTGCAGCAAAGGCTGGCACACTTGCTGTATAACCATTCATTTGATGAATAGGTTGTGGAACATGCTGATTAACAGCCAAAGTTGGCATACTTGCTGTATAATCATTCACTTTGTAAGGTTGTCTCCAATTTGATGAACTGGCTTCAAGAATTGGATTTGAATTATGAACATATGGAACACAGATTTGTTGTTGTGGTATAGGTATTACTGGTTGAGAACCATGGTGAAATGCTGAACCTGAATATGGAAGCTTGGTCATGAATTTGGAAAATTGGGGAGGGAAACTTCAAGACTTAAGCAGTTGGGGCTGTTGCTGTTTTAGTTGGATGTATGTGACCGGTTGAGCTTAAGCGTTGGCTCTATCAGCATGGTATAGAAGTTGCTCCTGATGTGTTTGTTGGACTTGAATTGCTCTGACAGGTTGAATTTGAATATTGGAACTACTGCTGTGATGCAGTGTTTGCTCCTGTGTGTGTTGGATCCCGTGACAGGTTGAGATGAGTACTGGCTACAATGTTGTGGCAAAGCAGTTGATCCTGCTGTGTCTGTTGGAAGCCTGTGACAGGTTGAAGGTGACTGCATGCTCCATTGGCCTGCTCTGCAGTTGCTCCTCCTGTGTTTGTTGAGTTTGGATCTCTCTTACTGGTTGGAATTGAGTATTGGCACTATCAGTAGGGCACAGAATCTGTTGCTTCTCTGTTGGATCTCTGCTGCAGGCTGCAATTGGTTGGCCATGGCACAGTTCATGTGAACATCATATTTTTGCAGGAGCCACACCTATACAGCCTGTGGTTTGAACCATATTGCTTGCAGATGTCACACTGAAATTTCTTCTTACTATGGGTTGTGGGGGGGGGTGGTGGTGGTGTGTTTCTGAAACAAATTTCTAGGGGCGTGATGGTGGGTACTAGTATTGACTGATGAGGGCATCTAGATGCAAAGACTGTGTATATCAAGCTGACAATCTTTACAGTGGTAGCAAAAACCTTTGCCAAGTTTCCCACAGGCATTGCACTTGAAGGAACCAGTGGCATAAACAGGAGATGAAAGAAGAACAAGGGTGTGTTTTGGGTCGACTTGATGTTCTGAGGCATCCGGGAGCAAGTTTTGTGAAGGCAGTATTTGCAAGTACTGCAAAAATAGAACCATCCTAAGGCCTCTAATTTACAACCTGCGCATATAAGTGTATTTGTGGTTTGCGGTTGAAAACTATGCAGTTTCTAGATATGCAGGTGACTGAAATGTTGAATAACTGGATCCGTATCAAGCCTGCCCTTCTGTGTCCCCATGAAATGATCATTAATTTTTTGGAGAATTCAGAAGCAATATAAGGATATTTGAATTGCTAAGTTATTGATCAGATTGTATGTGGACATGTTATCTCCTGGACGTAATTTTCCTCAAGATGTTGCATTATGACAAACCCTGATTGCAAGGTTATCTGGTTAAAAAATTATTAAATCTCCACCATATGCCAAGTCGACCTGCATCATTTGAGCTTGACATTATAACTGTTTACTTTGTTTGGAATGAAAACAGAATACAATGGAGAATCTGATATACTAGAAAATTTACTTTAGACAGGGGACAGCTTCGGTATCCAGGGAAGAAAACAACCGGTACTTTTCTAGCTGTCTCTTTCACAGGGAAGTTAGCGCTTGAGTTAACTCTTGCCATTTATTCATTTATTTTGCATTGTTCAGCTAATTATCTCTATTCATCTCAAGTCAAAGCGAGCTAATATATTTAAAAGAAGGTAAGGTATTGTTTTTCCAGTATGTCAAATAGCTAACTCCTGAGCCCTCTCCTAAACCTTCTGAATTATGATTCCTGCGTTTTGCCATTGCAAGCTGGACATTCCTGAGTTTTGCCGGTACAAGCTGGACACCGTAAATATCAAATCAGAATAAGAATTTATCAAATAAGGACGCATTAAATGATCTGAATTCGAAAGTAAACAAAATATAAGTGATGACATGATTTGTCAATAATGTAATTTTTAAAAATCAAAAACTTAATAATAACTTAAACCTTGGAATCTTGCAAATGCGATGAAAATCATCAAATTGAGGATGGCATGGTGGATCATATCTAAATGGTTTGATGCTAATGCATCCATCACTGACATTGCTAATGATCCATCTTTTGTTGCTACCCTCACTTCAAAGAAGGGAAATAAACCTAAGGTTCAATGGGAGTGTCTTCCTTAAGGTTGGCTCAAGTTCAACACAAACGGAGCGGCTAGGGGTTGTCCACGGTCTCTTGGAATTGGAGGAATTCTACGAGATGATAATGGCGTTGTTAAGCTTGTTTTTTCCAAGAAAGCTGGATGAGGTGACGCTAACCTTGCTAAAGTTTTGACAGTGAGAGAGGCCATGACAACATATTCTTCAGATTTGCTCAATCAAAAATAGAGTGGCTAGTGGTTGGCAGATTAGACACATCTCAAGGTCAAGTAATGAGGCTGCAAACAACCTTACTAAATCAAGGATTGATAGAATTCATGATCTTCTAAGTCTTTATCCTTAACTGTTTTGGATAGTACCCTCTCTTTGTCTACTGCTACTTGTTACTGGGTTTTAATGCATACCTTTGTGACACAGAGAGCTTTCCTGGGCTCCTATGCTTTGGAAAAGGCATTGACCACCCTTGGGAACGACATGAACTTTATGACTTGCAGGAGGATGAAAGACTCACCGTGGTTATGTTCCCTTCTCTTACTTACTCTCTTGCCTCTTTTTGCTTCAGTCCTGGTTGTGGTCTTTTGTCTGTTTTCTTTTTGCTGTCAAATCTCTTGTACAGGACTTAATTTTTGCTGATCAATTTTTATACGTCAGTTCCAGAGAAAGATCCTGGTCTGATTTTGTCAAATTTCCTCTCCTTTTGTGTAAATGGTTTCCCCTTTTGTTATGAATACACCACATGTTTAATCTTAAAAAAAAAAAAAAAACTTAAAGCGGTTTCTAAAAGTGGATTAAATCCGAATATTGTAGGAGTTTGAGGTTTCAGTTTCCTTAGTTGCAGTCAGGAGACTTCAATTCTGTCAATCATGAGATACAGCAATTACAAATGTCTCAGTTTGTGATCCTAATAGGCTACTACCCCATGGAATTGAGGTAAAACTCAAATACTACTTCCATTTGTTCATCATTACATTGCTTGCCAAACTATAAAGGAGGTGATAATGGAACTCTGACTCAGACTGAAGGGACATCATATTGAGCTAGCCAAAACTTTGAACAGCTAGCATATTGTCAATTTACAACTATGCGTTGAAAGGGAAAAAACAGAAAAACGAGGAGCATCCTGGGTGAGCAGCTCTCGACCCTGGATTGAAAATTAACAATCTTGCACACAATTTCCCTTTTCTTCTTTTCAATTTCTTCCATCACTGAAAACTGTAGTGCTTCTCTCATACTTAGGAGAAAAGCAACATTGGAAGAGCTTCCAACAACATGAACACCCTGATCTTCCCTGCAAATACGGAACAGCATAATGATGCATTAATCTATTACCCTTTAAAAATAAAGGATTTTACCTACATTTGACCAAAAAAAATATAATTGAATTTTGTTCACTTCTGCTAGAACTTAATCTGTTTAAAATATGGAGGGAAGTAATTATCAATTGGACTATGATAACGTCAGGAGGTTATAAAACATGTAAACTTGCCAGAACTATTTTGTACAAGACAAAGATAGCCATGCTAGAGTATGTTATTTGGTTACTTGCACTTACTTGCTCGGATTTACTGCTTTGATCTCCAATTCCAGACACGCACCTGGATTCATTTGACATTTTCTTTCTATTCCTCTGCTCCCCTGAATGAGTACCGTCTCCGGTTAAAAATGCCTCTTTCATCCTACTATCCGGGTTACGAAAATCAAAACTTTCCTTCTTAGCATAAATAGTTTCTTGTTTGGTTAGTTCAAAGTTGCTCGTAATCCTCTCGACCATAATGCCATTTCCATCACTGATTGTTTCCTTAACCTTCTGGAGAGGGCTTGTATCAGAAAGTTTAGGCTCCTTTCTTGCCAGATTTGTATGATCGAAACTTGAATAAGATCCTGCCAAATCTATTGAAAAACATCCATCGCTAAACTGGTAACTTGGAGCTGTACTCAAGTCACCTGAAACTAGACTTGATTGGTCTGTCTCTTGTGCCTGTACTTTTGGTTTTTGAGAAGTGCCAGCAATATCCGGCTTCCGACTTGATCCGAAGTTTTCATCCTGGCCATTTCTTGTTGTAAGTTTCCTTCTAGGACTATGCAATCTCTCATCCCATCCAACCACTGTTTTAAGAAAATTTTCTTGTGTTCTGTTCTCTCTGATGTTCCTATTGACTCCCTGGGATACTAATTGCTTTAGTTCTGTGCCTTCGTTAACATAATCTTCTCTTTGTTTAGTTTCCATTAGGGATGCTGAGGAATACATAATCTGTCTTGTCAAAGTTTTTGGCAATGGTGCAGTTGGATGCCGAAAAGATTGTGTTCTTTGATTGGAAATGGCACAGGCAAGATGTGTATCAAACTCACAGATTTGACACCTATAAAGCCATCCTTTATAGCTGGCCGGTTGTTTGCATATGTCACATTGCAAGTCATAAGGAGGAGAAAACTCTAGTTTGAGCGTGTGAAGGTGGGAAGTGATTGCTACAGAAAGTGGCAGTGCTGAGCACAAGATATGGTAGCAAGTGGAACATTCCCCACAGTAGTAGTAGAATCCATTGACATGATGTCCACAAGCCTCACACTTGAAGGTTTCCTCTCCAGATGAAGGCATGATATGGAGGGTTAAAACATGAGCAGGGTGGCCAGGATGTCGGGTTTTCCTAGGCATATTGTAGCACACTTGGTGAAGGTAGAAAGGACAGGTTTTGCAGCGGTAATAGCCCTTAGCTGGTAGTATGTCGAGCTTGCACCCAGAACAGGTAACGTTTCCTACCGAAATTAAATTGGTACGTACCATTGGATGGTGATGACTGAAATGGTGATACATATGCTCCTCCTGAAGTGCTTTCATCTTCTCTTTCTATCAGTCCTCTATCTTCGTTTGCTCCTTGTACAACTTTTTGCTTCTTTCTCTACTTGTCTAAGCGTGTGCGTTAAGGGAAGGAGTCGCTTGATGAAGATTGTTCGTGGAAGAACAGAAGAAATTATTTCTATTGCATTGGGAAGTTCACCTCTTCCTTAACGAGCTTGTTGCCCCTTTGCTCAATGTTCAAGTCGCGGGTATTGAACCTCCAAGGTGGCCTAGTGCCGGCCTTGGCCACAAGTAACACTTCCTCAATTGCGAGGTTGTAGTTTTTTGTCTAGTATGCATTGTCTCGACACATATCGTATCGGGAAATGTAACAGGCTGGCAGAAAAAAAATTATAGGAAATCTTCTAATAGGAATATTCAGGTTCTCCTGCGACTTCACACTTATGTTTGTATCTGAATCCAAATAGTAAATAAATTAGAGCTAGCCTCCAGAGCGCTAGAATTTTCAAGTTAATTATTTAGTTGTCATGAGCTTATTTTCTTGTTGAATACTTGCCAATATCACAGCTCATATTATGCTACCAGTATGTTCGCTTTTAGGTATTCTATCCTCTGTTCCTTTTACATATATTTTTTCAATAACAGATTGCATTTATCTTAGGTTCTCTTTATGATACACATCAAAGCCTTTATACTTAGTTAAGATGCTATAATTTTAATTGTTTTTAGTCAAGTTGGATAAACTTATTCTTAATAAAACGTCATTTTATCAAGTGTACATGATGTTATATGCCATACACATGATGTTTCACATTATGTACAAAAACATATTACATGCCATATATTGAACCTCAAGTGCACATGATGTTACACGTTATGCACATGATGTTTTATGCCATGTTGAAAAAAAAAATTATTGGTGCATGCTATGTACAAAAGCATGTTACATGACATGGTTAAAAAAAGTTGTTACATGCCGTGTTAAGAAAAAATTATTTTTACACGTCATGTATAAAAACAAGTTACACGCTATTGTTAAAAAAAAGTTATTACGTACCATGTTGAAAAAAAATATTATTGTTACATACCATGTAAAAAAACATAGTATATGCTATGTTGAAATAATGTTATTGTTACACGTCGTATTGAAAAAAATATTATTGTTATACGCCATGTTTAAAAAATTTTGTTACACTTTAATGTCTGAAATATTGCTGTTACTTACAAACCAAAATTTCAATCCTTTCAACTTTCTTCATTTCTTTGTGTTTTTCTTTTACGATTTGGTACCGATTAAAATGTTTTTAACTTATTTTCAATTAAAAATTATTTTAAATATTTGTGATCATTTTTATCATTTTAGTTTCATTTAAAATATTTAAAAATTAAAATTTTAAATAACCACTCACCCCAAGCACATCAAAATCATCTCTCGACATCCTAAAAGCATGGGAGAGAAAAATCAAGAGTACAACAAACAGATGCTGAAGAGAAAAATCAATAAAATTAGAAAGAGTTAGATGGTGAGAGAGAGAAATCAGAAGTAGAGACGGAAATGGAGACAAATTGTGATGGATGGTTTAATTTATTTAAAATGATTTTAAGAATATTTTCGTCAAGTTATGACTAATTATAGCTAAAAAAATAACTTTCAAAAAAAATTATAGCTACAAATAGGTAATTTTATTTTGATGATTATTTTTGAAATCAAGTTACGAAGATGTCTTTTTTTTTTCACAATTTTCTCATATAAAATTATCTTTTATGTTATAATTTTATGTGAAATTTTATTACACTGTTTTTTTTTATCAAAATCAACTCATTTTGCCACAATTGCAATTAAAGTCAATGGGATTTATGGGTGAATAAAATATGAAAGGAGGACTTTTTGAGAAATGAGGATTGGCTTTTTTATTTTATTTTATTTTTTATGCAAGTGCTGTGTCTTGCAGGTGCAGAATTAGGAGAATTGAGGGAAAGTAACCTTAGGGGGAAGAGAAATGAAGAAAAATGAACTCTTGAAATCAAATAATAATGGCTGTTAAGCCAAACTTCTGAGAATTTTCCGGCAAGTCAATATATTGTTTTCTGTGTGCATTTGAAGTGTTCAAACCGAGATTAAATGGAGGATATATCTCTACAATCGAATCATTGAATAATAGTTCAATTTTTCCAAGTCAAACTATAAAAAAAGTCAACTATCAATTGGCAGTTACATAGACCAACTAGCCAGCTATAAAAGCTTCAAAGTTTTAGCAACTTGTTAATATATGCATATTCTATTTGTCCAATAAATAACAAGAAACATGAAACTCTCCTTTTAGGAACTAAGGAAAACTTGACTTGGCTTGTCGAGAAATGCTATAAATAAAGCAGTTCTATCAACCAAACCAGTATACAGAGACAGAGATAATGGAATACAAGCATTTTGGCCACCAACATAACTTGAGAATTTACCAATTGCAGCCAGGAGATCATGAATACCGTTGCTCAGGCTGCGGCTCATTTTGTTCAGGATCTGCATATGGCTGTTTGGGCTGCAAGTTTTTCCTCCATGAACAATGTGGCAATGCAGGTCGTTCCGTGCAACATCCTTCGCACTCCTTACACCATCTTACTCTCGTCCCGTACACCACCCACTAGGCTGGCACCTTCGTCTGTAATGCGTGTGGTGACAGGGGAAATGCCTTTTCCTATTGTTGTTCTTTATGTGACGTTGATCTCCATGTCCCATGTGCTTTCTTACCTCAAATTATAAAACACGAATCTCATTTGCATAGTCTTAGCCTCGCTTATTCCCTCCCTTTCCCTAATGTTTCCTCCCGTTTCTGTGATATCTGTCACAAATTGTTGGATTGCAGGTATTGGTCCTACAACTGTTTTGCTTGTAATTTTGCTGCGCATGCTCTTTGTGCTGCAAAGGAGATGAGACCGGCAACATGTCATGGAGAAAATGTCTCCAGCAGTGGAACCACAGCAGCACAATCCGATGAAATTCATCATAAGGAAGATGCTGCTTCAGGGACCACTCAGGATCAACCAGAACCAGCAAAAATACAAGATCCAACTCTTCAGGCTATGGGTGAGTTAGAAAGACTGAAGCTTCGGATGCAAATGACTAATGAATTAGCAAAGAAAATGATGGCATCATTCAATCTTAGTTCTTTGATTTGATGTTACCCAAAGCTCTGTTAATTGACAATAAAAGTTAACTTGATCTTTCAAGGAAGAAAAAGTGGAAGGAACAAGGGCTCTGCGGCGTTTACTGTATTCATGTATCGGATTGAACAGATAATAAAGGTGATTACGTTATGTATTTTCCTATTTCAGATCTTGCATCTCAAAAGTGTTATAAATCTTGTAATTTTTAAAACATTTTTTATTTATGATCAACAAATTGCTTCCTTTTTGTTTCTCCTTTCTTCTTTTTTTTTTTCTGCCAAATTATAATGGATTGCATCGTGTGAGTTTTCCTTTTCTTGATAATTTTCCCATTTAGTTGAAGGTGCATGGGGTTGCTTAATTTGCCAATTTAAGAACTTAAATTATTAAATATTAAGTTGAGGATTTAAATAATTAGTTTTAAGGACAAAACTATTATATATTTATTACATTCCGCATGATATCATTTTAAATGGTTTACAATTTTGAAGTTATTTAACAAATAAAAGTTAATAACAAAAATTATTAAATTTTATAAACGTTATAGAAATTATTATTAAAAATTATTAAATGATTTAATCTTAAATTTATAAAATAGGAATAAATTATTTAAATTTTTATTAAATTGACAAGATATATAATTAGCAAATATTTTTAAACTCAAGTGTCTGCCTTCAATGCTAACTTTGACATACATACTGAATAAATAGTTAGTTTGGATTAAACCCTTTTATAAGATTTTTTACCTCAATTCTTTTAGGCCTTAACAAGCTGATCCGACCTTCTCCTCAAGCTTTTTCTGTCTCTTTGAAGCTAAAACAACAAGATTTAATAACAAAAATATGATTTTGATTTCATTTGAATTTTATTGTGCATCTCTTTACAATGAAAAAAATTACTCAAAAGTTAAAATATGATTTCAAAAATTTAAAAAAAAACCCAAACAAGTATTATCACATAAGAAAAAAAAAATGAACACATGACAAAGATTTGGATTCATATAGGTTTTCACCTTTACCTTGTACAATTCTTTCGTTTACAATTACACTCTAAAAAAGTTAATAGCAGATTCCTTTTCTTCTTCTTTTTTTAATTTTTTTATTTATGTACCCTTCTATCATATGCTTTATTCCGAAAGAAGTTACTCTAGAATGAAAAAATCAGTGTCTGACATATTCGTTTCTTTTTCATATCCAAAGCATACACACAGATATTGGAGCCCAAAAATTTGTCGCGGCTGCAGCCAGGTCAGGGTCGTCCTGACGAAGTAAAAGGCAGACCTCATCTCTAAATTCTGCTACGTGGTCTGTGCCTTAGACCCATCCTTTTCCATCATCTATTTTGTGGTTTAGATGTGGCTACTTGTGACTAAAACAGATAATTAGAAGTGGAATTCCTGCTGAAATTTTGTCGCAATATTAATTGCTTGGTCTTTTTCCTTTTGGCCATTAATGTTATGTCCTTCTACTGCTAAACATTGTGACGCATGATGGGATTAAGCATTATGATTATTGCTTATGGTTGCTTTTGTTTTAAAGTTCTGTGAACTCCGTGAAGTTACTGTTTACTACCGAGGGCTTTTTATTCATCGGACATTCCAACTAATTTCTGGTTGATATGACTCGTATTATTTTGTATGACTATAATTCTTATTACCAACCGAATATTTTAGGGTAAAATCAAACCGTACTGCCGGCTGGAAAAGAAAAGATAGAGAGAATCAAAGAATGAATACAACTGATTGCTCATCTATTGTCCCTGCTTTCCCTTTTCTGTTTGTGGGGCTTAGTTTCATCGAACCCAACTTACGTTATTTAATGGGTTGTTAAAGAAGGGACCTTTAAAGCTGCCAACAGCCAGTGTATGAGAGCATACAGTCCTGTCTCGATACGTGCATTTGAAGATTTTACAGCCTTAGACAATGTACTTTTGCTCTTTTACAAATTGCTTTAAGGTTTGTTGTCACTGCATGTTATTGCCTTTTTCTGTTTGCCCTGTCTCTCGATAATATGGATGTAGAGAATCAGAAATTACTGATGGTCGGTGGAAATGAATTATTGACACCAAGGGCAAAAAATTCTACCGACAAAGTAAAAGAGGCTGACGTTTACTTTGCCTGACTTTTCCACCTATATAGCTTATGCTTTCACAGAGATCAGATCCCAGACCCTTGAGGAGAGGGAGAGAGAGAGTGGGATGGGGATCATCACCCTCCGACTCTCTGAAGATCTCACATGAGTTTAACTGTTACTCTCTTGCAAGTGAATGTACCTCCAGGTCCGAGGAACGCATCCTAGGACCATCCTATAGTCGTAACAATGCAAGTTCTTCCACCACAAAATATGCCCATAAGCTCCTTGGCTGACGCAACAGTCCCTTCGCCCAAATCACTCTCTCACTTCCTCGCAGAACTGCCTTCTTCATGTGCATATGGATGAGAAGCTAGGATCCTTCATGCCAGTTACTGTCTCGGTCATGGCTTCTTCTACCATTGCACAACCTGAAGGCTTAATAATTTCCAGATCATTATCGTTTCTGAAATAACTCAACCGTTTTGAGGACCCTCTCCCTTTCAGTGATCCCACCGAAGATTCAATGCCGGGCCTGCTCCCAGGCTTCTTCAGACCAAGTTTGTGCATGTTCAAATCTATAGATCACTGATAACATCTTATTCAAGAAGCAGCTGGTTGAAGGTTTCAGTGAGATTTGCTTAATCTATTCTGGCGGAGAGTAAGAATCTCAATCCAATATACTATACACATGTAGAGTGTTAATTTGGAGCTTAATTGTCAGGAATCAATACATTTTTTGTGTCGCAGTTGCAGGCGAATATTAAAGGAGAATACACGGAGCACTTGATGGATAGAAAACATGGAAAAGTTGGTTGTGCAAGGAGGCTGAGAGGGTGTTACGGATGAAAGGGATGTTGCACCAGGCGAAGAGCTATGGAGCATGTTTTGTGGAGGAAGAACTTGCTTTGTGAGTATGACCCTAGGTTGGACCTCTGATGGGTTGATCGTACCTATAGCTTAGACTAGTGTCCAGTATTCTTGTCTACCCTCACCGAGTCTCTGTACATGTATTTCTTTGTTTTGCCTCTGTACGTGGTTCAATTAGAGGACTTTGGACAATAAACATTTCTACTTTCAGCATTGATTCTGTTATCTATATGTGCTTCAAAAATTTTATTTTGCACATCATTTTCATTTTTTGGATCTAATTAATCCAAAAAATTAAGACCATACTTTCCCGGCAGCTGTTGAATATCATATTTCCCATAATTGTCTCTCTTTTTCAAGCATCTTTTCACACTAATTTCTCTGTAACTGAACAGTTATATCTCAGTTATTTGTCGGTAGTAATAATTTGTAGGTTTCCTTTGTTTTTTGAAGTTAATTAAGAACAAATATAAGTGCGCATGTGTCACGGGGTCATGAATTCAAGCAGCACGAGGAGGCTTTGGGAATGAGCCGCACTTAAGTCGATCAACTATCTTTGCACTATTATTTTGATTTGATTTTATCATTATTTTTTAATTGAAATGCTGATTAACTAGTTATTAGAGTATATAAGAATTTTCAAATCCTTGAAAAGATGAAGTCAAGACTTCTTTAAATTAACAACGTTTTTCTTAAAAACTAATTAAAAAATCATCTCAGAAATAGAAACCATTAAAAAGGTTAGAAGTCTTCAAATGAGAACTAATATTCTTTCGTTCATTCAGTTTTTTATATGCTGTTTCTCTTAATTATTAGCAATTATTTTTGAGACTTTAACATCTGAATTATGATTAAACAAATGGCTTTACAAACATATCATGCATTTTTATCAATCATAAGGCGTGTCCTAAATGTTGAATGTGAGTTAGTTGTTGACATTTAAAGAGTTATTCCTAATGCTATGTAATTTACTCGCTTCTAAATGATAAAAAAAAAAATAAGTTTTTATCCTTATTTAGGAATATATAACAAAATTATCAACGAAATTTTAAGAAAATATATTGCAAAAAAATAACTTACTTCAATTGAATTGAATTGAGACAAAGTAAAGCGTCTTAAGTAATATGTATATTTAAATAACTAATTTATATTTTTGAAATTATTAGAAAAAGTAGTTCATGGGTATGTCTTATGTGAAAGTATTTTTCATTGTTTTATTTGTTCACGTGATAATCACACAGATCAACACTAATAAGGTAATAATGTGTGTTTGTCTGTGTGTTTGATTTTTTATTTTTTTTTTGCTTTTGAATATGAATAGAGATTAGATTCAATTAAGTGATTTTACTTCTAACTCTATGATTACAAGGGACAAGATTAAGAGATTCAAATTACACTACTACTATCATTTTCTTTTTTGGTTATTACAGGTAAGATAATGTTCTACAGTTTACAATTAACTATGATTGAATATTTAATGAAAGTTCAAGGAATTTTTTTTTTTTAGATACTTGGTATTTAGGATGTGCTTACAAATTAATGTTGGCTAACTATTGGATAGAAAATTAGAACCTAAAACATATAATATTTCAATACTTAGTTGATATTGCGTCCTAATAGATGATTAATTTCGAATATTCAATTGTTTGATAATGTAACTAATCAAGTATTATTGCTATTATTATTATTTTTTTTTTAATTATGAAGTTGTATGTACCAGTAAAAATTAGAATAACAACCAAATAACCCTTAATTAAAATGTACAGAAGTATTACATTTGATATAAAAAAATTTAAACGAAGTAAATTAAACAATTAAAAAACCAACAAACTAGCATAAATATAGTTAGAAAAAACTGAATATAAATTAGATCAAACTCATACATAATAAGACTTGAATCTAAGACCTAAAAGGTACTAGGATTTAATTCTTACATTTAGGGAATGTCTTATTGGCATTGAGTAACAATTCGTTGATGGAAGGATCTTTATAACAATTCATGTTTTTCATTGCCCTGTTTTAATTTTCATTCAATTTGAAGTAATTCATAGATTTTTATATAAAATATACATTCTAGATCTAAAACTTATTAAGTTTAATAATTAATTAAATAAATATTGACCCTCACAATCCACAAACTTGATTATCACATTACTTAGAAATATAAGTTAAGCATGATAATAAAATCAATTTAAATTATTTGTTTGAGTATATATTTGTTTCGATTAAAGGATCTTTTTTATGTATCACTAGACTCAAGCTAAAGGAAAATATATACAATAAATACAGATGGCTAAAAGAATGAATACATATATATGTATATCACAGATTATGCTGCAGAAACATATTATATATGATATAATACTCATTGAACTGCAGGTTATTGTAGACCCAGAGGCTTTGACCAAGATACCAGGAATTGGAAAAATACTCCCCATGTCCTCATTGAACTGTTTATCACTTCAAACTGGATATTTGCTAATAAAGTAATCATATCTTTTTTCTCTTTTATGACTGCAAGAAATTTCTATGATCAGATTGTAATAGCATCAACAGTTTCAGAAATCCCTTGCCAATTCTTTACATGATTTCTCACCCCAAATTCATGCCTTTCTTCCAAGCTGCTAAGCTGCTGGTGCAAGCAATTGTGATCTGTGGCAGCCTTATGGTGGTTCAATGCCTGAATTTCAGTTATCCATCATTCAGCACTGCAGATGCCAATGATTTTGTTTTTCTTAATTCCTCGATCATCAGGAATACCATTCAAGTCAGTCCTGTTATCGCGGATGCATCCGGAAGAATCCTGTATAGCCAACCACTTAAACTGTGGGACAAGCTAAGAGGCACTAAGTCATCATTTAGCTCAACCTTTGTGATTAACATCAGACCGCAGAGCACTCCTGGCGGCGAGGGACTAGCCTTCATATTAACTGACAGTGCGACCCTCCCAAGCAATAGTGCAGGTCAGTGGCTTGGGATTGTAAATGTAAATACCATCAATGTCAACAGCATAGTTGCTGTGGAATTTGATACTAGGAAGAGTGATTCAGAGGATGTAGATGATAACCATGTTGGAGTCGATCTGAAGAGCATCTACTCCATCAAGCAAGAACCCTTAATAGGCCACGGTGTTAATCTTTCAAGTAGTGAAGATATCACCGCTACCATCCAGTATGATTCAAAATCCGACAAAATGACTGTTTTTGTTGTGTTAACTAGAACAAGTGAACAGAACATGGGGAATCCAATTTTCACTGTGGAGCTTGATCTGTCTAAACACCTTCCAGAGGATGTTTTTCTGGGATTTTCAGGTTCAACACGAGAGGATATCCAGGTCAATGCTCTGAGGTCATGGAAGTTCACCAGTTTTGAAATTAGAGTTAAAGGTTCAGTCAATCTTCTTTGGCTTTGGATCTTGATTCCAACAATTGTGATCATTTTGTTTGGTGGATTTTCCTAAATCGGAGACACAAAAACAGTATGAAACAAAAGGAGGATGACGAGAAGGAGATTGAACAAGAAATTCAAAGGTCATCCACTGCTCCTCAGAAGTTCAGATTGAAGGAACTTAAAGCTGCCACGAGTAATTTCAGTGCTAATAACAAACTGGGTAGTGGAGGACTTGGCACAGTCTATAAAGGACTTTTGAGAAAGGAGGAGGTAGCTGTGAAAAGAATTCTAAAGAATACACGACATGGAAAGCAGGATTTTATAGCAGAAGTGACCACCATCACCAACCTCCACCACAAGAACCTTGTTAAACTATTGGGTTGGTGCTATGAAAGCGATGAACTCCTCGTTTATGAGTTCATGCCAAATGGGAGTTTAGACAGGTTCGTATTTGGGAATACAATTCCAAGCAATGCGGATACAACTCTGAAATGGGAAACAAGGTACAATATCATTTGTGGAGTAGCCAGGGCGCTGGACTATCTCCATAATGGTTGCGAGAAAAGGGTTATTCATCGAGACATAAAAGCTAGTAACATAATGTTAGATTCAGACTTCAAAGCCCGATTGGGAGATTTTGGACTGGCCCGAACAGTTCAATTGAATGAGAAAACGCACCATTCAACCAAGGAGATTGCAGGAACACCTGGCTACATGTCTCCAGAAAGTTTTCGTACCGGTAAGGCAACTGTCGAAACTAATGTCTATGCATTCGGAGTACTTATACTGGAAGTTGTCTCTGGGAGAAAACCTGGGCATCAAAATGAGCAAAACAACTACTACAGAAGCATCGTAGAGTGGGTATGGGAACATCATAGGATGGAACAAATCACTGATGTCATAGATCTTCGATTAAACAAAGATTTCCATGAGGATCAAGCAAGGTGCATACTTATGTTGGGGCTGGCCTGTTGCCATCCAAACCCATTTGAGAGGCCCTCTACGAGAACTGCTTTGCAGGTTCTTACAGGGGAAGTAGCTGCACCAGCTGTGCCTACTGAAAAGCCTGCTTTCATGTGGCCTGCCGCGCCTCCAGTCATTAGAGAAGAGATGGACAACTCCATCACCGGAGGTCATCTTACCACAACAACGGAACTCAGTGGCAGATGACCCTTGTCAAATATTTCAAAGTAAAAAATTTTCTTCTCTTTCAGTGTTTTCCATTTGTGGATAGGACAGTCGTTTCATACAGGGTAACTCTATTGATAGACTTGTAATTTAAGCATTTAGATTACCAAACAAAACTTTCTTGTGTTTGACAATCAAACTTCAGATACCATTCTAAAGAAAAATAATTTATCATAAATATCTCACTTTTTTTTTTGTTAACATACAATTCATTCTATCTTTTTTCTATAGTTTTCTCCATTAAATTAGATCCTGTATTTAAAATTTTTGACTTGGCATGAATCTCACACATATTTTATTTTCCAACTTAAAAACATCAAAGGCTTGGCTTATTCTTTCTCTTTTTTAATATATATATATACACAGAGAACCTTCTTTAAGTTTTTCCTAGTTTTATTCTCAAAACCCAAAAAGTTCTTCCTTATTTTAATTCAAATTAAGCGTGGGCTCTTTAGGATGATCATATTAAATCATGCATATGTGCATATAAATTTTGTGTCAAAAATAAGATAAAAAATTCAAAGATAAATAATAATTTTATCAAATGAGATAGGCAAGTACAATTTTTGGAAATTCTTTAAAATTGAAGAATAATTTTTTTTTATTTTTTTCTCCGATGTTCTTTGAAATTCGAAAATCATTTTTTAGAGGTGTCTCAAATGGTTTACATGAGTGTTGTATTTATAGTATTAGGTGAAAGACTTTTACAAGAACTTATTTTTTTTATTTTATTTTTAAATTATTTTATAAATATATGATGACTCATTAATGAATTTTAATTCATCGAATTTGGATTTCAAAATATGTGCACGTGGTTCTAAAATCACTTCAATTTAGCAACCATAAAAGTTGAAATTTTGCTAAATAAATTCTACTATTTTCATTTCCATTTCTACAAATATTGAAAAAAAATAAATTAAGTAAAAGGAGAAAAGTCCTTAAGAAATATTCTAAAGTTATGATCCTGAATTAGATTATAGCACTAATTTCTTATTGTTTATGTGAGGGTTTTGTAACTAAATATTTTGATTATATTTTCAACAATAATAAAAAGGGTTTTCTTGGTCAAAGTAAATTAAATCAAAAGTATAGAAAAATAAATTAAATAAAATCTCTGTATAGCCCTTCTTCGCCAACTCTTTTTAACTCCAAACGAGCTGGAGTTTTCTTACATTTTCTCTTCTTCCTCCATCTTTTTCCAGCGGCCGCCACATCCGTTCTTCCCGGCGGCCCTTCTTCATCTGCGCTCCAGTTCGTCGCTCTTTCTCTTGCTCTTTGTCAGTGCTTGCTTTTTCGTACAGCATTTGCTCTTTACGGTTTTTTTGTCTTTTTTTTTTTCATATAGAAATTCTTGCATTTTCATATATATTTCGCTATTCTTTTCATTTTCAACTAAAATTCTTGGGTGATAATTAATTTTAAATTTTGGTAATTTTAACTGGTGCTATCGATTAATGTTGGATGCTAATTTAAAATATATTAAACCTTAAATCTTTCCTCTTAGTTAAGATACTTTACTAACTTATTCTAGTAGAATTTGTAATTGTGAGACGCTTGTGATTGAGCTTTGGATATGAAGGTTTTATTTATTTAGCTAGTTGTTTATTTTGACAGTCAAAATGACTTCTCTGCTTAAAGTCTCTGCCAATGGGTTTCGGTCGGAGAAGTTACCGTCGTTATCTAAAGGCAACAGAAGACAAGGTGTTGTTGCAAAGAAAGCAGCTTTTGGTAAAATCCCAGTGGCAATGTCCTTATCCATGTCTACCACAGCCGTCCAACATAACCAAAAATCAACTTCCCTGGACCTTGCCATCCCGATCATGGTACCATTTTCCTTTTTGTTAAAGAAGAAAATTTCAATGCAATGCGCTGTTATTGATTTGTCTATGAACTTTAAGCATTGATTTGTCTATGTTGCTTCCCCAACTTGATGCTCTTTTGAGTTCACAGGAATACTTGCTACACTTGCAAAAAGTAGTTATTATTCCTTTTTATAAGAATGATGTCCATATAACATGGCTTAATAATCACTCCATTGCTTTTGTTGTTCCTTTATTTGTAGGTAAATAGTTGTACTGGAAAAATGGGAAAGGCTGTTATCAAAGCAGCAGATTCTGCTGGACTTCATATTGTTCCTGTGTCTTTTGGTGCTGAGAAGGAGTCTGGGCAAACTATTGAAATGTGTGGCAAAGAGATTCTGGTCCATGGCCCTTCTGAAAGAGAAAGCGCCCTTGCTTCTGTCTTTCACGAGTATCCAAACCTGGTTGTGGTAGACTACAGTGTGCCTGCCACAGTTAATGGTAACCTGTTGAGAAACATACAATAAACCATATTATATTTCACATTATTGAAATAAATAAAGCAAGCTTAACTTGAGTGAGAAATTTTTTGATAGTCCAAGGAATAATGTTTCTAAAAGCTGAAGCCATGTTTTAGAGATAATCTATCACCATGACTGATTTTTTTCTCTCAGTTGTATCATGAACTATCTTGTGACAGTTTTGTTAAATAAATTTGTGCATACTACTCAAGTTCAACATTATGAATTGATCTCTTTATTTATTTCTTTTTGGGGATGGGGTTTGTCGAAATATAGATAATGCTGAGCTATATTCCAAAGTTGGTGTGCCTTTTGTTATGGGAACCACTGGTGGAGACAGGGATCGACTGTATAAGACTGTTGAAGATTCAAATGTTTATGCTGTGATCTCACCACAAATGGGGAAACAGGTCATCTAACCCTTAAATAGTTGAAATACCACTTTAAATAGTTCAAAAATATAGTTTCGTATTGTAGCTTAATACTGACATCTCTGTTAGGTTGTTGCCTTTCTTGCAGCCATGGAGATCATGGCTAAGCAATTTCCTGGAGCCTTCTCTGGATATTCTCTGCAGGTACTTATTCAATAAGGTTGTTTGGAAAGAACATTCCAAAAGTGTTATCAATGGCTTGACAGAAAAATAATTGAAGGATTTTGGTTTGTGACTTCTAGTTATGGTAACCTTTATTGTTGTGTAGGTTTCATGGCCCAACATCACCAACCCGCCCCCCCAATCCAATATAATTAATTCCAAATTTCCAATTGAACCTTACCTTAGTGCAATTTCTTGGGACTGAAATTGTGTCTCTTATCTTCGTGGTTCATATAGTTCTAAGCTGTTTCTAACATGAAAATATGCAAGGATGGTTCTTGTGTAGTGATTTTTTATGTGTCTGGTCCCTTAATTGTTACTTCCACTTTGACTTCTAAGCCTTGCTTTTGTTAAATCCATTGTAAATTTGTAATGCAATTTCTGGTATTTTTTCTGTCACTTTTACTTTGAATATGCCAAGCTCTGTCACTATTACTTTGGTATATTTAATTAAGGGAGCCACCAAAAAAATCTTGTTAATGTAGATTGAAATGCTGAAAAGTTTGCATTATTTAACCTTTTATGTTTTACTTTGCTGAAATCTGAAAAACGTTTGAAATGAGGTTTATAAGGTATAACCAATTGCACAAATAAAGAACAATCGAGGCTGTAAAATGGAACTTTTTGGCGCTCTATCAAAAAGCCAGTTTGATATTGAGATATTTTGAAGGGATGTTGGTCGAACTCATCATTTTCCTTGAAGTACCTGTGTATGATACAGCCATTGGACATGGGTATGGAGGTCTGACCCCTCATGTATATGAAATAACTCAAAAAAATTGTACACGTGTCGGATGCATATCCAATTCAATAGTCACCCTCGAGTCTGACTAACATAGGATTTCAATACTGGAAACTATTGAAATATATGGTGCTTTGGTGCTTTTCTCTTGCTTCATTCTTTGGATAATAGCTGTTCAAAATCATTTATGCAAAAAATGAAGAAGTGAAATATCTGTTAACTTTTGGGGTTTACAGCTGACTATAAATTTAATAATCACATCCAATGGTGTTTACATGCTATAGGGAGTTTAGAAACTTATATTGACCTTGTTTTCTGTTTGTAAAATTTTTCTGGACTCCTTTCACTCTTTTTGAATATTATTTGTAATTAGTCCTGATGTCGGTGCCATTAGTCCTATTGGTTACACATTGATTGTCTTCACTAATCTTTCAAAGTAGAGCCTTAACTCATTTTAACTTCAAGAAATACTTCTTTAGACAATTGAATCTCGGAAATCAAAAGGTGATTTTATTCTACTAAGTTGATTTGGATGTGCTTGTAATAAAGTGATGCTTATTTTTTATAATTCTAGGTGATGGAGTCCCATCAAGCAAGCAAACTGGATACCTCGGGGACTGCCAAGGCTGTAATATCTTGCTTTCAGAAGTTGGGGGTGTCATTTGACATGGATCAGGTCGTGTTTATCATATATTCTTGTGGCATTGGTTTATTATATAATCCTATACATGCATACAGACATACATATGTGTGTGTGTGTGTGTGCGTGTGTGTGTGTATTTATATGTATGTATCTTGGTTCCATATTTATAGACTATTTTTCCTGACATGCCAATTCAGAATTGTTGATTGGCATTGTTGGATGGTATTATTATAGAAGTTTGTTCTTCCTTTTCTGATCATATTGCAATTTCTCTATCACCTTCTATAGTTGCTTTTTATTTTATTCTATTTTATTTTTTGGGAGGGGGGTTCATATATTTTCTCAATGCAATTGAGAGAGAGAGAGCGAGTAAGAGAGGTTTTTTTTGTTTTTAGGTTTTTTCTTGTTGAGGATATTGCTTTTAAGAGTGAGTGACAATGGTACTTCTGCCCGTCTTGAATCCGCCAGTTTATTGTCATGATAAATTCCTTTGGTTAAAGAGCTTCCTTCTAAAATTTGGCCTTTCTAATCATTGATGTTTCCTTTTCTTTTTTCAGATACAAATGATCCGCGATCCCAAGCAGCAGATCGAGATGGTGGGAGTTCCAGAAGAGCATTTAGCTGGTCATGCTTTTCATTTCTATCATCTGACATCACCTGATGAAACGTAATGACTAACATTCTCGTCTATAACTATTTCTTCGTCAACTTGGAGACATCAAATGAAATTTCTTTGATCAATTTTTGAAAATACTTCTGCAGGGTTTCATTTGAGTTTCAGCATAATGTTTGTGGCAGGTCCATATATGCCGAGGGTACTGTTGATGCTGTACTTTTCCTTGCTAAGAAGGTGCTGTTATTTCTTTTTCCCCAGCCACTTTGAGTCTAATTAAGTATTTTACTGAATGTTTTGTTTTTACTGTTTACAACAAGGTCCTCTTTAAGGGGATGACTGCCACATGCTCGGCCAATAATAGGTGGGATTTTGAATGTCTGTACTAAATATCTTCAACTCTGACAAATTTCAAAAGCAATTGTTCAAGAGTCTAAGTGGATTAATGACACCCAGATTATATTGAAAAACTGCTAAAGGAGAAAATTGAATTTAGTAGTTTCAGCTCATGAAAATTGTATTCTTTGGAGTTCATTATGCTGATTGTAAATGCCTTCATCTTTTTCTTTCTTGAGGCGTGGAAGGAATTCCATTGGCATAGTTCATATGTCCTCTTATGTATGTCACCGTTTGATTGTAAATATTTTTCAAGTGCAGGTTCAGTCAAAGGCCGACAAGCGCATCTACAATATGATTGACGTCTTGCGGGAAGGTAACATGCGATAATATGGTGTTTCTATGCATTTTGTTGTATCTCAAGATGTTTAGGATTATGAGACATAAGGAAGGCAATTTTGCATCAAGGGTGTCGGTCTTTTTCGTTCTTTATAGTTAGTTGTTAGTGTTAGTGTAAGAAGCACAAGATGATGATGTTGAAAGCATAATTATTAAACAGTGGCTACAGTGATTGGTAATGCCACTAAAGCAGGCTTTGATCGTACCAGAGATGGGTTTGCTTGCAAATTTACTCCCTCCGTTGCACAAGTAGTCAAGTAATATTTTTGTCTGATGTTTTACCAAGATCATTTTCGATATTTACTTCCTTTTATTTTAAATTTTTGACTCATTAATACTTTCTAAGGAAATTTAATGAAAAAGTTTTCAAATATATCAAAATAATATAAGTAATAAATGCAAAATTTGTACTATAAATAACATTAAATTAGTATTTAATGAAATGAAGAGAGTATTCAGGGGTGCAGGTGAAACAATCACGGTTGATCTATATTTTTATAATATTAAATCCAACAGTTTATTTAATTAAATTTTTTTTTATAATATTTCCATTTTTTTTCCGATGGAGACAGGAGCCATGAACAGACCACAATTCAACAGGAACGTGAAGCACTTTGGAGATGCTCTTTCCTCTTCCAAAATCCAAAGTCCAATCCCTCACCTAAACTTTGGAAACATCCTTCCTAGTGGCATCAAACTGAACAGTAAGCAAAATGGTTTTATCATAAAGGAATTAATAAGAAATGTTCTCATACAAAAGTGTCATAAATAAATGCAAAGATTATATTAGAAAATAATTAACTCTGGAGAGTCGCATCCATAAAATTGAAAATATATATGGGGCTTAAGTCATCGATAGTGAACGCTAGCCATTTATATAAAAAAGTTCGATTTTCAAACATTATATATATACACATACATATACATATATTTATATATATGTAATTTAAAAAAAATTATCTTCAAAAGTTTGACAATCAATTGTTATCAATTTAATTGAGAAATCTTTTTTTTTTCTGATACTAACACTAATTTGAATTAATTTTTATTTTTATAAAAAATTGGGGATTAGTGGATTAATACAAGAACTAGTTAGTAAGGCTACCTTTTTAGTCATTTTTTTTTAATCTTTTACCTTCCAAAAATTGTTCCTTGGATTGGTGACGTGAAGAAATCTCCTCATCAATTCCTTCTAGAAGGAAAAAAGAAAAGAAATATATAATAGTTGAAATAAATAATCAAATTTGGAGGGTTTATAAGAACAAAATAATAGTCGTCAAGGTGATTTTTGAATAATCATACATAATGAGATAAGATACCTAGACTTGTTGGTGGAACTGAGGAATCCTGTGTTGAAAACCACGGAAGGAAGCTACAGGGAAATTCTTGTGGAAAGGAAAATCTTTCATTTCACAAAGAAAACAATTGCATAGCTCTGTTTTTATATACAAGAAAAGTAAGACTAAAAGTTTGTTACAAAGGAGGAAAAAATACTTAAGTTGGTTGTAAGCTCACTAATTTTCTATGTAAAGGGAAAAGTAAAAATGGTGAGTATTGGTAAGTTAATTTAAATGCAACACATGTATCTGTTTTCTCCCTTTTTAAATGACCACGTGTGTCTCATATGTTTCTCTTCTTCTCTTAATACTGAGGTCCAAATCTTCTTTTTAACCCAATTCTGTAACCTTCATTCTTAGATTGCACCCGAGCCTTTGGTTCATTGGTTAGTGCATAATTTCTTATCTAAGAATAGAGTTCGAATCCCTCATTCTCTAATTATATATATATATATGAAAAGAAACCTTCATTCTTGGATTAATACTTCCCTCAAGATGAATACTCATAACGAAGCATGTATATTATGAATATTCATCTTGCTTGGTAACTTGTAATATTGTTTCTGTTACAATGCCTTTTTAAGAATATCTACAATCTGCTAGTCTATAGAAATACACAAAGGACTAATCACTCCTACCATTACCTTTTCACGAATGAAATGGCAATCCATTTTTATATGCTTCGTAAGTTAATGGAATATAGGATTACAACATATGAAAATTGCAAATTGATTGTCACAATGAAATATGACTGCTGCTTCATGTTTAACACCAAAATCAAACAACAAGTACCTCAACCAAATGACTTCACAGGAAGCAAAAGTCATTGATCGATACTCTGCCTCTGTTGAACTCCTAGCCACAACTAATTACTTCGATTTCCAGCTAACCAACGAATTTCTTAGAAAAATACAATAATCAATGACTGATTTGCGCGTGTCTGGACATCTTGCCCAGTCGTTGTGTGAATAAGCATATATTACCAAGTTTGAATCAGATTTCATCAATATGCCTTGACTTGGTGCTGACTTGAGACACTTCAACACTCTATATGCTGCTGATAAATGATGTCTCTTTGGTTTATCCATAAATTGAGATAACACTTGGACTACGTATGAAATGTTTATCAAGTACAAATGCTTTTCTACCAATTGCCTATACATTGTTAAATCTACAATTTCTTCACTATTAGTTGTTCTGCTCAATTTGTGACTATAATCTACAGGAGTAGTCATTGGTTTTGCACCAAGCATACCATACTCTTTCAGTAAATCCAATGTATATTTCTTTGACAAATAGAAATACCTTCTTGACTTTTAGTAATCTTAAATCCTAGAAAATAGTTTACTATTCTAAAATTCTTTAACTTGAATTGAGAACTCAAAGATTGTTCGACATGATATATAACTCGAGTTGTAGTACTGGCAATGACTATGTCATCAACATAAACTAGTAATGCAACGAATTCTCCATTAGTTGTTGTCATGGTAAACAAAGAGTAGTTTAACAATGATTGAGTAAAACCATACTTCAACAAAGAAGTAGTAAATTTGGAGTTCTATTGTCTTAAAGCCTGCATAAGACCATAACGTGATTTATGTAGTCTACAAACCAAATTAAAACTAGGTGGATACTCCCCCTTAATAAAATAACCTTGGGGAAGATCCACATAAATTGTTTCTTTCAAATCTCCATTTAAGAATGCATTATTTATGTCTAATTGTGTTAAAAACCATCTTTATGCCATTGTTACGGCTAGAAAAAACTTTCACAGTAGTCTATTTAGCCACAGGACTAAACATCTCTTGATAATCAAAACCTTCCTTTTGATTGTAACCTTTAGCTAGTAGCCTTACTTTATACCTTTCCTTAGTACCATTTGCATTTATTTTGACTTTAAACACCCATTTATAGCTTATTGCAAAAGAATCAAATGGAAGTGGCACAACATTCCATGTCTCATTATCCTTCAAAACTCTTAACTCACATTGCATTACATCTTTCTAATGAGAATAGTTAACAGCTTGATCATAAGTCTTAGGTTCACAAGTTTGAGACAATATAGCTATAAAAGTCTTATGAGCAAAAGATAATTGATGACAGGAAAGATATTTAGTAATGGGGTATGAAGTTACAGAATGAGATAAAGAAAGAAGATCAATTTGATATGCTTCAGGATACTTTGGAATATGCCTAATCCTACTACTATTTCTAAGGGCTGAAATAATATCAGAAGTATGACTATTAGGTTTTGGCACTGACTTTGCAACTAGACTTAGTAATATGATCAAATGAATTTGGGATTATGTCAACAAATTCTATTGGTAAAGTGGTATCAAATGATGTAGTAAGTGTAAATGAAGATGACTTAAGTGTATGATGAGGATTAGGTGAAAAATTCTCTATAAAAAGAGTTGAATGGTTAAATTTAAGTCATGCACACTAAGTGCTTGTAAAATGTATACTGATATGAAGTGTGCTACAATGACTAGAAAGGGAAAATATGCTCATGAAAAATCACATTCCTAGATATAAAAACTATTTTGCATTATTGTCATATAACTTATACCTTTTAATACCAGTTGGATTCCCTACAAATACACATTTAGTTGCCCTAGTGTCTAATTTTTTTTCTATTCTATGTCAATGTAGAAACAAAACATAATTTACCAAAAACATTGAAATTGTCATAAAAATGTAGCTTGAAATAAAATATTTCATAAGGTGATTTCTCATCAAGAAGCTTAGTTAGGATATTGCTTCTCCTTAAAAAGAAATAGGTAAGTGAGACTGATACATTAATGCCCTAGCTACCACAGGCATATGTTGATGCTTCCTCTTAATAACCCCATTCTATTAAAAGGCTTCCACACAAGCTAATTCATGCTTTATGCCACGTTTTACACAAAAATTAGAAAGCTTGAATTCACCTACATGATCAGTCCTAAAACATTTGATGATAGTTGAAAATTGATTTTTAGCATACTTGTAAAAAGTTGGCAGAATGGTAGAGAGATCTAATTTACTCTTCATTAAAAATATCCAAGTGAACCATGTACAGTCATTAACTATTGCAGAAAATAATGTTGACCCTTCACAGTAGGAACTGTATAAAGTCCCCATACATCTGCATGCACAATTTCAAAGACATGAACTATGTTTTTAACATATACAAGGAATGGTAGCTTTTTCATTTTTGTATAATGACAAACTTCACACTGTAAATCTCTTAAACAATTAATCTCAGCTTGATTTTTATGAATGACATTTATTCTACCAGAGTGTATGTGGCCTAACCTAAAATGCCACAAATCAAACTGTTTTTGTACTGTTTTACAAGCAATGACAAAATGTTTAAACGAAGAATGTGAAAAATTATCAAGATTGAATCTAGAAAGATAATCCTCATCTTGGTAATCTTATAGAAAATATAGTCCTGAATAAAATTTAGCAATTCCAATCACCCTCCATGTGAGGAAATCCTGATAAGCACAAAGTTTATCAGTAAAGAATACACAAGCTTTTTGGATGAAAGTCAATTTACATACTAATATGAGATTAAAATTGAATGAAAGGACAACAAAACATTCTTTAAAGTCAATAATGAAGTCAATTTGTTTGTCTTTATATGAGTTACAATGGCTCTAGCATTATTAGATAATTAAACATAGCAATTCTGGACTGGTTTTCCAAAACTAAAACTGTCTAAAAAGCAAGATATATGATCACTAGCATCAGTATCTACAACCTAGATATTTTGCTTAATCATGGCATGATTGACATCTTTATACTTAATTGGAAGATTATTGACAGTATTGAAACAAGAATAACTAGAAATTATACTTGCAAAAGCTGAGTTTACTAAGGTAGGTTTGGTTTGTTGTGTATTTGATGAACTTTCATAGAGATCTTCATTGTTTATACCACTCTCACTGAAAAGTGTGATGA